GCTTCAGATGTAGGCAGCTGTCATTCTGGGGCCTGTACCTGTAGAAGATTGTTTTCCTTTAACAAATTTCTGTTACAGAGTTTTTGCACATTCCAAATAAGTTTGTTTGCTACAGTGTTACAGGGAATTTTTTTGGTGTGCTTTTGGTTTTGTTGTTTGGTTTTTTTATGGTTCTTATACCAGCCATTTTTGTTGGGGAAAATGGGGGGTTTCTTTATATATATTTTACAGGCAAAGAGGAGACCTCACTGATGCTTTTAGCCAACCTACAGGGCAGCTGTTAGTGTACACAGAAATGTAAAATACAGTGCTAAAAAGAACAGTGGCTTCTAGAAGTTCAGTGTAAAGTTTCCAGTGTCCAATAATCCCACACAACATTTGACACCTAGTTATGTCTACGTATGATACAACATTGATTGAGGAGAAAAGCAAAGGTAAAGCAGGACAGTTATTGCAGCAATGCGTAAGTTCAGCCAAGGGTGTTGATGCCATCAGGACTGCTACTGGGAAAGGTATAAGGGAAAGGAGGCATGTATTGTGTGCATTTTCACAAGATTGCATTCAAAGTGAACTATCTTAAAACATCCATCAGAAGCAGGTGTTAGAGAAAGGCATATAAAAATTAAATAGTGCAAGCCCTGGTTTATAAAATATACCTGAGGTGAATGGCAAGTTAGAGTTGGTCATGGCCTACCTGATGCTGATTCCTGCAACTTTTCTCTCTTCCTCTTCTTTTTCTTCCCCTGAAAAATAGGAAATTTTACCATACCATTGCATGCACAGAACTTTTTTTTTGTCGCTTACCTCACAGCAGAGAAACAAAAGTCATCTGGACACTGAGAAATCTGTTAGGAAAAAAACCAATTGTTTTCAGGATAGCTAAAACCTTTTCTGCCCTACTTCCAGCTGGTTAAAATGGTAACAAAGTTTGCTCTCAGCATATATAGATAAATATGCACATCGGCAATACATATTTGTATTTCCACATGGAATTACAATTTCTGGCAGTTTTTCAACTAATGCTGGCAGCCTCAAGCATCTAAAAGACTTCTCACGCTTAATAATCTGATGACACATATGTTGATATTATAATTTATGGCTCTTACAAGAACTCTTCACACATTCAGATACTCACAGTGTCATACATGGTAACAGCAGAGAGGGTGTTGAAAGTACCTAGGGCTACCACGACTTGTCCTCAGGGTGCAAAGCAGCCAACTAAAACTGTTCTGATAACCAAGTCTGGTATGGCTGTGCCTGGAGAGCATGCTGTGCAGTCACCACAGAGCACACTGCTGTACAGCTGGGCAGCCTTAATGTGACTGAGGTGCAGGACACAAAGGGAAGCCTGGCAACACTCTGTCTTGGGGACCACACTGGCACCAGCGTGCCGGCTCAGGGTCATCACACCAACCCACACACAGACTTCTCACACACCCCATCTGTGGAAAAGGCCAAGGCTCCTGCTTCACACAGTCTTTCAGGGAAAAAAAGGTTAGTTTAGACCCACAATTTTAAACCTCAATTGTCTTGCATCACCCTAACTACCACTTTGATATTCCTCCATATGACTTGCCTTTATTGTCCTGTATTGTCAGCCAAAGCTTTTTTTGGAGTGTTTTAAGAAAACAAGTCACATCCATCTATATTTTAAAGAAGCCTACAGACAGGCTGTAATAGATGAGCTGTGGCAAACCTTAGTGCAGTTGCTGTGAGTAGGGCTGCAGCCTGCTGTCCATCCTCTGGCCACCCACTCAGCATGACTGGCAGCTGCCAATTCATGTCCCAGCACAGAGCATACCACCATGCACAGCATCCACAGACTGGAAGGGCTGAGGTGGTGGGACACACCTTTCCCTTGGCTAACTCTGCAAAGTGACAGGACAGACAGCAGGTGATGTGAGAGACCACCTCAAACCACTGCAGTGCTCACTGATGGACAGCAAGTGAGGGCTCCGAGTACAGGCTACAGTAAAGCTATGGCAGGTGAAGTTAAGCAGTCTCCAGTCTGCTCTGACAGTCTGGGCCTGCCTGACTCTTAAGGTCCTGTCCTTATTTATCCCAAGGCTGGCAACAGGGCTGGGCAATGCCTTGTGAGGTCCCAAAGTCAGGACCAAGACTGGAAAGCACTTGTTGGAAAGCATGTTTCAAGGGCTCTGGGGACCTCACAGCAATATGCTTTATCACTTAGGCACCAAGGCAATACTTCTTTACAGAGTAAAGTGCCTTAGTGCAGATGTTAACACACAAAGATCATGGGAGGAAAATTTGTTTTATTCTCTATGGCAGGCTGATTTCACACACTAAAACATACCCAAAGCTGATCTGGGATCCATCTATGAGATAGCAGAAGTGAAGGAACAGAAGGCTGGGCTGAAAACTAGTTGTCAGCATTCCCAACTGAGATAGTTTCTGACAACTCTAGCACACACACAGACACCATCACATTGTGAAAACACTGTGCTTCTCATGTCTGTCACACAACTTTGCATGACTAATTTGGGTATCAGTAATAAAAACATAAGGAGAAGACAATTTCAGCAGTTGAGTAACAATGTTTAACATTTTCTTGAAATTTCTAAAATCCTGAATAACCAGGCAAACCGAAATAGAAGAATCAAAACCAAATAGTACATATGTTTCCTTGTACTGTTTTGTGAAATTCAGCCACATGAAACACAAGAGTCACCCCTAAGTCACTTCCAGCTCTCAAAATACTGCAGTAATACTTGTGATAAATTAATACAATTTCACTTTTTGACTAAGTTCAAAAAAAGGAAAAAAAAAAGGAAAAAAAGATTATGTCTATCTGAACAGGTTAAGTGACAAACTGTGATCTAATAAGACCACCCTCTCATCACCACTGCAAAACATGTGCACTCCTGGAGGGGCAGTGAGGAGGGCTGCAAGAGGAAGCTAGCAGAATTCTTCATTGTAACATACAGGACTGGAGTATGTCAGAGAGGTACTTCCATGCAGGATGTAGGTTGGAAGCACATCGAAGAGAAAACTCATACATGCCACCTGACACAGTCCAATGTCTATCAAGGCATTTAAGAAACTGCAGGTCCACTGCTTGTGCTGTATGGCAGAAGGCTGTGGCAAACACACCAGGTGCTCAAAGTCAACACAGCCAAGCATCACAGGACGATCTTGAAGGCTGATGTCCCATCAGCACGAGCCAACAAGGCTCCAAAGTGGTTTGATTTTTCAGCAAGTAAATTTAAGACAACTGAAATCCCCTCGTTTCCAGGGAGTCTCTCACTATAGACCCTATTTGTTCCCAGCTGTATTAAAGAAGCTCTGTTAACAGGGTCTGGTTACTGGAAATAAACTCTACCTGAGTAAGGTCGTGACAGTTTGTTGGCTAGAAAAGATCACTGTATAACCAGAAACAAGCTGCTGGGGCTTACAGTTGTGTCTGCTTACAAAACTGAGAATGGATGTCAGCAAGACCAAGGCATTTGGTTCAGAGATAATGACATAGTTTCTGTGCCAATGCATTCTTTGCCAGTTTCTACAGTTTTGTTAACACTGTATTTAGGTACCTCAATCTTTAATGTCCAAAGACATCACTGAAGCAGAGAAAAACTACTGTCCACCTAATACAGATCAAAAACTGAGCCAGATATAGCATGTACACTTCCTGTCACAGTAAATAATTCCACAGCTGATGGAGGGACAGAAAGGAGACCAGATCTTGGGTTAGCATCAGTCTCTCAGGATTGCACCTTGTAAGTTTCTTAATATATGACTAAACTGACAGATCATTGCAGGCACAATAGTATAACTGTGCAGAGCAAGCTGTGTGACATGCTATTAACACTTGTTTGATATTCAATTATAAAACAAGAGTAACTGTAAGAGAACTTCTTAACTTCACCACATGGTATTACAGCAGGATCTATCATGAAGTTTAGTTATGCAAACTTTGCAGACTTTATTTCACAGATGGACCATCCTGAATTACTTTCAGCTAAAGTTCAGTCTGCATTAAGACCTCTAGGCTTTCAGTTCTCTTGAGACACCCCTTTTCTTCTCAGGTCTAAATAAGATTTCTGGATAACAAGTGATCAAACAGAAAATTATGGAAAATTCACAGCTGTACAGTAGAAAGTACTGGCTACTGTCTTAGGCAAAAAACTTTCCATGTTAATTTTTTCCCCTCAAAAGCTGTGAACTTCACAAGAAGCATCTCAAACCCAACAAAATCTCAAGTTTCCTGGATGCTTGATGTGTAAACAAATATTTTTGTCTATATTATATGTACGTTCGCCATCCTTTCATCCAGAATATTCTACAAGTTATAGAGAAAAAGAAGAAAATGAAAAGGAAGTTAATTTTAAAAAGAGCCTTTAAGTGAGTGACTTACATAGTTGTCTCTTGCAGACCAGCCTGGATAAAGCTGCATGTGTAGCTGCCTTTCTTTACGAGCTAATTCATAATATTTCGCTTGTTCTTCACGGGAGAGAGCATGCCACTGCAAACAAAATAAACACAGCATTAGACCAGGAATTAACTCTTACCTACGCAACAGATGACATGAGTATGTGTTTGAGTGACTCTGATTCAGTCCTTCCCCGGTGCAAAAATGAAATTCATTAGCAATAACAAGCACCTGTGTTTATTAACCAACTTTCAGGCATTTGTCAGCTCTGAAACTGCCAAGTGCCTTGAGCAAGACAAAAATCATTTATGGAAACAGGGCTCACCAAATAATGAGCTCACAGAATCATGCTCTCCCAAAACTACTTTAAAAAACCAACATACAAACAAAAACAAACCCCAACAAAAAACTGCAACAAAACTCTCCAGTTAGCTCCTGACAAAACAGAAGGGGATTGTGCTGCTTTTAAAGGGCAGAAATCTCCCCTCCCTAGAAGGGTCTGCTGTCTTGGTTTTAAGCAGCAGGTAGAAAATGCCAGAACACAGGGCTGTCTGAGCACCAGCAGGCTCCTGTTCCAAGATCAACCTCCAAAGTATTGAGCTTCAAGGTACAAGTTTTCTGATTTCTTCTTACTGTAATGGAAGAAAAGAAAATGGCAACTGCAAAAAATTTTAAGATCACAGAATCACAGAATTTTAGGGGTTGAAATGGACCTTACAGGGACACCTCCCACTAGGCCAGGATGCTCAAGGCCTCATCCAACATGGCTTTGAACACTGTCAAGGTTGGGGAATCCACTACCTCCCTGGGCAACCCTCATAGTAAAAAACTTTTTTCTAATATCTGACCTAAACTTTCCCTCCTTCAATTTGAACCCATTACCCCTTGTCCTATCATTGCAGTTTCTAATAAAGAGCCCCTCTCCAGCTCCCCTGCCCTGTAGGTTCAGATACTGAAAACTTGCTAAGATAAATCACAGATTACAAGTTGACCTTTGTAGACAAGTAGGGATAAATATCCTGGGTTTATGTACTAATAAAAAACCCAACCAAACCACCAAAAAAAGACCACTCACAATCTGCACATTTGAAGACACCAGCAACATTGCTATCTAATAATTTAGTTCTTGTTGAAACACCTATCATAGAACTGAACCAAAGAGAGTAAGATAAATCACAGATTACAAGTTGACCTTTGTAGACAAGTAGGGATAAATATCCTGGGTTTATGTACTAATAAAAAACCCAACCAAACCACCAAAAAAAGACCACTCACAATCTGCACATTTGAAGACACCAGCAACATTGCTATCTAATAATTTAGTTCTTGTTGAAACACCTATCATAGAACTGAACCAAAGAGAGTAAAGGCCTTTTATTTAGCACCAGGTTCCACTGCTGCAGCATTAGATGTGTCTTCTTGTTTGACTGACAATATGCATGGGGTAGTGAGGAGACAAGTTATTTTTTTTAAAAACCCAAAACCAGACAGACATGAAATCATTAAGACACTCATGCAAGAATAATTTATAGAACTAGGATTTCAGATCAGATCACATTTGTATGACATAATATGTTGTTTTGTTACATGTCAGAGGATGTGAACTAAAGCATTTGCCCACCTTGACTTGGCAAGTCTGATGTGTTACTGAGAGCTCGGCAGTTTAGCCTGTTTGCAACTCTCAAATTCTACAAGAACATTCCAAAACTGGAAACTAATGAACACTATGCCATGGCATCTGAGAGCCCAGCAGCATGCAAAGTGTCTGCTCTTGAGAACAAAGGTGGTTCCTGTTCTGAAGCACCAAGAGTAAATAGTGACCAGGATGACTGAATGCAAAACACTTGACAATAATTCATCCCCAAACAATTATATTGGATAACTCATGGATCGCTTGTACCATAGTAAAAGTGAAATTTGAGGTCCTTGCATGGAGAACAGTAACTTGAAAACAGGAACCCAAGCTGAAAAAAAAGCAGACGATGGAGCTCTGAGGCTTGATTCATTACCAAGATGGAGATAAATAAGCCACTGCCCTTGTTCAGACCAAGAAAACAAGGCTGACATACTAAGCAACTAAGATAATAACTGAAGGAGTGAGAATGAAAACATAATCCTAGAGACTTGCATGAAAGCATGGAAAAGGCAAGCACCAAGATGTCCTTTCAGGGGAGGTAACAAGAGAGTGAAGGCAGAAGGCTGCAGGAAGTGGGACAAGGACCAATAGATTTCTGCTTTAGAGGAGGAAGTCTTCAGATTCTAATATAAAAGGAGCAGTTAAGGTCATGTACTGACTTCCCACTTAAAAGCACAGGGTTTTCAGATAGCTGCAGTGCCCCTCAGTACTGCCTTGGTCACTGATCAAGAAGAGCCATTCACTGGGGATTTAAATAATCCCTACTCAAACTCAGATCGATACACATCACTCCTTTTCTCATTTCCAGGAGCCAGTTGCAAAACAAGCATTTACCTCTGCTACTTTCCCTTGGAAGAATAACACTGACAATGAACATGAAGTTTGTCATTGCGAATTGGCCTGCACAGGATTTTTTTTGAGCATGGAAAGTACAAAACATGATTACAATGCCACAGAAACAAACAGCTCTCAGCAAAGTTCTGGGATATGCACTAAGGATCATCAGTACTTGGCTGATGACTTCAGAGTCATTCAAAGCTTGACTGGATAGGTCCCTGAGCAACCTGATGTAACTGGACCTGCTTAGATCAGATATGACCTCCACAGGTCCCTCCCAACCTACATAACTTTACATTATATTCACTCAAGTTCCATCTCCAGTGGCACTCAGTGTTTATCTTTGAATGATCCTCTCCTGCTCTGAGGGACATCAGCCTATGGGAGGACCCAGAAGGTAATTTGAAAGCTCCTTCCGTGTGTGCATGAGGATATTCATGCCTGAGCTGTTGACACCATAACTTTAGTGGAACAGGCACCAATTTGATGATGTTGCTAGTGTTGAAAAAGAAAATCAAGATACTGCTTTTATTTTTAGTTGCATGTTTTATCTTCTACAGCTAATTTGATAGTTGCACATTAGTTATCACCTCAAGCAGAAAGTGAGCCATCACACCCAACTGAAGGGAAACACACAAATTAGCAGCACATGTGAGCACACACAAACCCTCCTGTACATACCCTTCTGCCAAGAATCTGGTTGATAGCTGCGCTTTCTTTCAGAGTACACTCTGCTACAACGTTTGCTCTCATTTCTTTCATGTACAACATGAAAGCATTCAGAGGTTTCTTAATATGAGGTCTTTTTGGCTCTTGTTCTTTTCTCTGTTCGTGCTGAGGCTTCCTAAAACGTGGTGGGGGAAAGGGAAAGGAAGAGGAAAAAAAGCATTAATTTACCTTCAGCCTAAAAAGATCAACGGAAAATTACCAATTTGTGGTTACAGTAGCACTTAAGTAGTAAGAATGAGAATTTCAGTGGTCATGTCCCATCCACTTTCATATCTTTTCACAGAATTGACTTAGTTTAATACTCAGGGAGGATGACAGGTTGACATTCTCTAGCAAGTAACATTTGATCTGTGACTGTGTTCCAGATTCATCATTTGTCTCAATTCCCATTTTGAAAGGCTATCCATAGTACCCTAAAAGACCACTGCTACAGGCAAGAGGACAGCTCCTCATCTGCTTCTTTCTTAGGCCTTTTGCCTTTGAGTACTAAGCAATGGCTGCTTTCTACTAGTAAATTTTGCAGGTATGACCTTTTCCAGCAGAAGGTCATGAGTTCACACTCAAGCAACATTCACAGGTAGACAGGTCCATGATTCTGTCTGAATCAATATGACTGTGGCCAACAGCTTAAAAGTGCTGGACTGGAATGAAAAATGGCTTCATGTCTCATTACTCTTCCCAAACAATATCCCACAGTTCCTGTTTTAGTTCTAGGAGAAGAGTTAAAATTCAAAGAGGTCATGAAAGGCACTTTTTATTTTGTTTTTGTTTTAACATCCTTGAGTCTTCTTCAAATAGTGTTAGTTCTCAAACATTAATAGATTAAGGCTAGTGCAGAAAGGCAGACTCACACATGCATTAGCTCACTGTCGTTGTGCAGATGTTCTTGTTTTACTTGAGGTGTTACAATAGCTGGATGAGGGATTCCAGTTGTGTGAGGGCCTGGAGGACCAGGAATCATGTGATGCGAAAACCTAAAGGAGAAAACAAAGCAAGGTCTGTAACCCTACTGAAAGCAGGCATCAAACATATAGGTAGCAGGATGCCCCAAGAATGCAAACACTACTGAGCTTGGAATGAAGACAACTCTTTAAGAATGCATGAAAAATATTTGGCTAAGATTTGTGCATTGTAGCCCATTTATTCAGGAAAAACAAACAAACAAACAAAACCAGTCAACATTTTGGTTGTAGAGAAGTATTTGACTGCCTTTCAGGTAAACAGTTTTAGCAATGCAAACAAGAAACATTTAATATTTGTACTGTTGCACTAACTAGCAATAAAAATACACATTTCTTAACCAAAAAAATGTATTTCCACACCAAGATATAAACATTATTAAAATATCCACCACCAGCCAATGCAAAAGAGGAAACTGCCATGCAGAAACAAATAAAAGCCTTTTCAAGAAGTCCCTGAAGGCTCTTTAAGGAATCTCTACTTTTCAAGGTACTTAAGGCAAAAGATTTTGACATCACTTCACCTGAACTCACTCTTCTTCCATCAAATTACAAAAGTAAACTTTCAAACTCCTGCATCTTGGATGAAGGATGGGGGCAGGAAGAGACTCTTGTTCTAATTAAAGCTTCCTTTCATTTGTACAAGAAGGAAAATGGAAAATAAAACCAAAGTACCACTAACTAAATCATCCCACCCTAGTAATCCAGGTCATTCTCAACGACAGCTGAGACAGATCCTGCAGGTGCTGTGCACTGCATGCTCAATGCAGCAGAGAACCTGCATGCTTTATTCTAAACTGGTGGAAGGTACTGTTAACATCAAAAGCAAGCTCATGCACCAAAGTTTTGCTGAATGAGTGATGGTTAAGGAATGGTATCCAGCCTCTCATTTCACCATTCCCTAGCCCCCTTGCCCTTTTCCTTCATGCCATCAAAATAAAGGCAAGGCAAAGCCCTGTAACCAAATCAAGTCATTTTATCACAGAGAAAGTGTTTTTTTCCCAGTCACCAAAAGGCACATGCTTATCATTCCCCTGTAACGAAGTGAAAGGACAGTGATAATCCAAAGAAGCCCACACAAACAGAGGCAAGAGGACCCACCACTTAGCAAGTGGCCTGTCTTAAATCCCTGTGCAAGAAGATGTCTTCTACAGGTCACACAAAAACATCCCCAAGAATAGTATGTCGCAACCATGTGTACACCAAGCACAGGATGCAGAAGCTGTCTTTAGAGTGCAAAAGCAGAACATAGGAGGTCTGGAGTGTGTCATGGCCAAGTCTCAATTAGCATTGCTTGCTTGCACTTAGACATAAAGACACAGTGCCTGATTCACACACCAGTACAAATACACTGTGCTGGCAACCCCTGCCATCAGTGGCTTTGGACTATGAAATACCTACTTGTGAGCAGTTTCCACACAGAACGATACCTAAATGATTCAAGACTAATTACCAACAACTTTGAAATTCGAACTAAAGAACACAGACTAGAGAGACAATCCACCTGGTTGCATACTAGGCATAAGCAAAACCTAAGGATGCACACTATATGTTGCATCTAGAAATGAATTCATGACTTATTTCAGATGAAACAGCTCAATTAACTGTTGACAATTCACTGGTGCTCCTAATTGCAGTACTTCAGAGACTGTCAAGGAAATGCTGAATGAGACCAGTGTGGGATCCAGGCAAACTGTAAATACACACAGAAGTTAAATAAAAATGTATGCATAAAGTTTTAGCTGACTGAAAAGCAAGCAAAGGCAGATCAAGATACAAGCGCAAGAGCATCTTGCCCTCTAATGCCAGCAGTTACTCCCCAGTCAGTCATTCAACTCCTACACCTACCTGGACATGGAAGGGTCGACTGAGAGTGAGGATGGATAGGGCTGCCTGAATCCACTCGAGATGGGATATACAGGCTGACCTTGCCTGAGGTCACAGAAGAAAGGAACCCATCAATCATACGATATGGTATTCAATAGTTACTCTAGAGTTACAAGCACTTGATGGGAACTCAGCGCTCACAAATAAATAGTAATAACTAACACTTTCAAGAGTTCTCCTGCATTCAAACTAACAAATACTTGAACACTTTGACCCTTCTCCTTTGCTACTGAAAAATTCCCAATCTAAGTTTCCACTGGGGAGGAAAGCACAAGAACCAGCCTTCCTCCCCCAGTGCACATGCACACACATACACACACACACATATGCACACACTCCTCTATCTCTATCCCTCTCTAACCTAGTTTTATAAGCACTGGAATCAAATTTGTTAAACGAGCTCTTAGGAAAAATACATGTTATTTCAAATAGTTCTACTTTAGATCAGAGCAAGAACACCAGACACTGAACTATTAAGCTAGAAAGCCTTTTGAACAGTTTTATTAAGTCTTTGAAAACTTAGGACTTTCTCCATTAGCATATGCTATAGTGAGGTATTAAGTGGCCAGCTTTTCTAAGAAAGTAGTTTATTTGATAAAAAACCCACAGCAACATAAGTCCATCTCACTACTTAAAGATCAAACTCTTCAATCCAGTAAGAGAAGCTTGTGTGAAGTTCTTACCTCCTTTACACTCCCACATGTACAGACCATTTTGTCACCAGTCTGTCATTTAGAGTCTTTAGTTTTTATCATCATCACTACATTTTGGTTACTTTCAGTTAGCAACAGTTCAGTCATGACTATGATGAATACCCTGAAGTAGAATGCTATGATAATGTGAACAAATACCAGTTCAGCCCAAATACCTGAACCAGCCAGAAAGATCACCACACTGATCAGTCCTATTCAAACAGTTGCTTATTGACTGGCCAAGCAGCTTTCAGAGGGCAAAAAAATGGATATTGGCATTTTTAAGGTTCAGGATACAAGTTTCACAGTGGGAGTAAGTTAGTGGAAATCAGCAGTGCTCAAAGGGACGAGGGGAAAAAAAAGGTGAAGGAAGACTTAACAGCACTACCTCACAACAGGTAGCTAGAAGCTGTAGCACAAGGCACAGCTGAGCATGTCCTGCTGTTGGTGAATGCTGCTGAGCACCTCTCCAAGTCTCATAAGATTGGATCTTGTCTCTCCTCTTTTTCCTCTTT